TTCTTTGGTTTCGTTAAGGAACGGTTGATGTATGTAAATTGTGAAGTTGTTAATAAAAGGCCATGTTGGCCATTTACTCCAAAAATGGTGTCATGTTTTTATATAGTTTATTTGGTTAAGGGGGGGGTTTGGGGTGGTATGGATAGGCAATGGTGGAAGTAGGAGTGGACAAGCCTATCTATGGTGCAGTAGTCATGTATATCCCAGCTCCCCTGTACTCCATTATAGTGATATGACATGCATACAGTGATGTATATCCCAGCTCCCCTGTACTCCATTATAGTGATATGACATGTATACAGTGATGTATATCCCAGCTCCCCTGTACTCCATTATAGTGATATGACATGTATACAGTGATGTATATCCCAGCTCCCCTGTACTCCATTATAGTGATATGACATGTACACAGTATGTATATCCCAGCTCCCCTGTACTCCATTATAGTGATATGACATGTATACAGTAATGTATATCCCAGCTCCCCTGTACTCCATTATAGTGATATGACATGTATACAGTAATGTATATCCCAGCTCCCTTATACTCCATTATAGTGATATGACATGCATACAGTATGTATATCCCAGCCCCCCTGTACTCCATTGTAGTGATGTGACATGTATACAGTAATGTATATCCCAGCTCCCCTGTACTCCATTGTAGTGATGTGACATGCATACAGTATGTATATCCCAGCCCCCCCTGTACTCTATTGTAGTGATGTGACATGCATACAGTATGTATATCCCAGCCCCCTGTACTCCATTGTAGTGATTAGACATGCATACAGTAATGTATATCTCAGCTCCCCTGTACTCCATTATAGTGATATGACATGTATACAGTATGTATATCCCAGCTCCCCTGTACCCCATTATAGTGATATGACATGTATACAGTAATGTATATCCCCCCTCCCCTGTACTCCATTATAGTGTTATGACATGCATACAGTAATGTATATTCCAGCTCCCCTGTACTCCATTATAGTGATATGACATGTTGTATACAGTACTTACTGCTCAAGTCCCCCCGCGGCGGTGGAGAGGGTGTCTCCTCTCAGCGGAGGATAGCAGACCTCTCCTCCTGCATCTGTCCCCGCAGCAGCGGTGCCAAAGAAGCCAGAAACCGGAACTCGGAAACCGGAGCTCGGCTTCACAATGAGGGTTGGAGCGCATCCGCTCCATCATCTGTGCTTGCCGCTAGAGAATTTCTCCTCGCATTTGGTGAGCGGGCGAGCGGCTTTTTCAAGCCCTGCATTAGTGTATATGTTATATCACCTAGTAAGAACATATCAGACTGCAATAAAAAATTATATCACCCAGCAAAACCATTTTTTTTGCTACAGAACAACTAATAAACTAATATAATTGAATTATATTCACAATAAACCAGCACAATATACAACAGGCAAGTGATCTCCACCCTCCTGAGGCACAGTCCCTTTTTTATTCAGTCACCATATCCCTTATTTAAGGAAGGGTCCACTCAAGTTCATCCAGCAAACTGCCCCTCTTCCTGAATAACAACCTCCTGTACACTAGTGATCGGTAGAAATGCACTTTTGTTTTGGAAGTCAATGTAGGTACTAATTAGATATAGGTAATAACTAGAAGCCTTTACATTGACCACCATATCAGAGCCAAGCCAGCTGCCAATGTCACAAAGGAATCTACACTGAGCACCACATAAGGCAGATTCTACACTGAGCACCACTGTAACAGGCTATCCTACACGGACCAACACCGGAACAGGGAATTCTACACTTCCCTCCAATATAACTGGGAATCCTACGCTGACCACCATTAAACAGAAGGTCCTACAAAGGCCACCAATGTAACAGGGGACTCTACACAGATCATCAATGTAATGGGATATCCTATGCTGACCATCCATTTATTAAGGGGAATTCTATTATTATTATTACTATTCAGGATTTACCAGTATATAGCGCCAACAGTTTTCACAGCGCTTTACAATATAAGGGAGACAGTACAATTACAATACATTTCAGTACAGAAGGAATATGAAGGCCCTGCTCGTGGAGCTTACAATCTAAAGACTGATGATCACCAATGTAATAGGGGATTGTACACTAATCATTTCTACTCTGAGCACAATAACATAAGAATTCTACTGTCGCCCACAATGTAATATGTAAGTATCCCTTTAACATTAAGACATTTTTTCTCCTACTGGACACCAATGTAAGGGGCAGCCTTCCTCCCGCTGAAGACCAATGTTTGGGACACTCTTCCAAAGATGTGTCTGAGTTTACATAGGTCTAAAAACTTCCCCCCCATCAAAGTTTCCTGCACCTGATTAGTGTCCGCACAAGTACCAAACACTGCATTTTGGGAGAGAGTCCAGTGATCCCCCACACCTTTGCATATTTTCAAGGGTTTTAGCAGGAGTAGGAAGTGGCAGGAGAACGCAGTGAAGGTAAGTATAACCACAATGGGGGGGGGGTATCAAGGCAGCCTGCACTGAATGGCCATCCCTAACCCTTCTTTTTTCAATCATATGCTTTGTTGCATTATAACAGGTACTCTTTAAAGTGATTGTAAAGGATACAGTTTTATTTATTTATTAATTTATTTATATAAAAATAACAAAAATATACTTACAATGGTTTTCAACAGAGCAGTACCAATCCTCCTCTTCTCGTGTCCCCAACCGATGCTTCTGGTTCCTCCCCCTGCCAAATGCCTCCATAGCAAACCTCTTGCTATGGGGTTTCTTGTGTCGGCGCAATCCCAAGCCGCCATTGACACACAGAGCATGGCTCAGGCCCACCCTCTGCTGTCTGCTCACTGGTTGTCCATGAGGAGAGAGCTGAGAGAGTCGTTGGTCTTTTAGATCAAGATCGTGCCCAGGTAAGTATAAGTAGGGGATGGGGGAGCTGTATACTGAAGGTTTTTAACCTTAATGCCGAGAAAGCATTAAGGTAAAAAAACCATCTACCCAGGGGTGGACTGACAACTCATGAGGCCCCTGGGCAATAGGAGATCATGAGACCCCTGTGTCCTTGCCAAAACTCAAAAAAGCCTATGAAAAAGGTACCAGGAGCATCTCATGGGGCCCCCTACTGACCCTGGGCCCTCGGCAGTGCCCAAGTTTCCAAATGGTCAGTCCGCCCCTGCTTCTACCTTTACAGTCACTTTAACAAAGGTTTTTGCAGGAGGTAATTCTGCTGGGACTTTACAGACCCTGAAAACAAAAAGGAGCCAACATTATGAGGAATGAGATCGGTAAACAAGTACAGACATGTAAAACACATTTGTTGTTTGCAACCAATTGCATCTGTTTTCTTTTGTTTCTAATCCTTAAAACATGTAATGTTATGTAATTCTGTAGCTGGCTTGTGTTACAAGTAAGTATTGATGTAAATCTATTCAGACATGCCAATTTTTACTGTTGTTTTTCAAGTTTCAGAGATTTGTTACGTGTGCAGTGCTGTGGTTTCATCAATTAAAAGCAAATCTGTCTGAGGCCCTTGGCGGAAATACAATTAGAATTTGGACACCACACACGGATTTTTGGTAGCCAGCTCATATCTCACATTACACTACCACTATGCCTAAATGCACCGGACATCTTCTAACTTATTTTTACCTTTCTGTTTAAAGTGTAAGTTCACCTTTTCAGAAAAAGATGAAAAGGTGAACTAACACCGACCGAACACCCTCTCCATCTCTGTGTGGTGCTTTTTAGGTACATTTTAAGTGCTAAGCTAAAGTACCCAGGTGTGAATGGGACCTTAAAGTAAACTTTCACAAACTTGGACAATACACCTGAAAATGCATCAGCAGAGGTTATATTCGGTGAAAACCAAAATGTCAAAATAAATAACTGATCTAGATACGGGAAATTGAAATTGTATACAACTTAAGTTTTCCAGTAATACTCATGGGGGTTGATTTACTAAAACTGGAGAGTACAAAATCTGGTCCAGCTGTGCATGGTAGCCAATCAGCTTTTAACTTCAGCTTGTTCAATTAAAGCAGTAGTAAACTGAGCAAAATAAAAAAACTTTCCCCCTGCAAGGCAATGTTATAATATAAGCTCCAAGGAGCAGGGCCCTGAAATCCCTCTTGTATTGAACTGTATTGTTGCTGTATTGTCTCCCGTTATATTGTAAAGCGCTGAGCAAACTGTTGGCGCTATATAAATCCTATGAAATAATAATAATGTGCTAGTGTGCACTGCATACTAGCACATTATGTGAAACACCTAAAAATTAAGCTCTCCAGTGGCACGCTGTCACCACTAACAGGGCTTCCATCTTCACGCAGTCTTCCTTCCGGGTTTGTGGGCTCCGGCGTTTTAAATGACTAAGCTGCAATGACATCACTCCCGTGGCCATGGCACAGAGCTCTGAAGGAATGGCACAAGTATGCCATACCTTCAGAGCGCATGCACCTTGACGTCACCAGCTGCTCCACATGTACATATCTCCTAAATGGTGCAAGTTTAGGAGATATTTACAGTACCTACAGGTAAGTCTTATTATAGGCATACCTGTAGGTAAAAGAAAAACAAAAATACTTTACTACCACTTTAAGCTTTGGCAAAAAAACCCTGGAAGCTGATTGGTTTCTATGCAGAGCAGCACCCGATTTTGCACTCTCCAGTTTTTTCTCTCACAAAAATACCAAGAAAAAAAAAATAACAAGATACAGTACAATAAAATACAGTAGAAAGAAAAAATAAAACACAACAATAATAACCAGACAAAAAAAATTGAAGGAGGACCTGTGGTCCCAAACAAAGTTAACACATAGGTCACATGTGCACAATAACATAGCTCTGTACTCCAAAGATAAATGTAAAGACATATGTAAGGAAGACACCCAATTTGCACCCTCCAGTTTTAGTAAATCAACCCCATGCTTGGCCCTGCCCCTCTAGTGGCCGTTCAATGTAATGGATTGCCTCACTGACCAATAGGAAGGTTTAGGATGTTGGAAAAGGCATACACTATATTGACAAAAGTATGGGTACATCCCTCCAAATCATTGGATTCAGGTGTTCCAATCACCTCCATGGCCACAGATGTATAAAATCACACACCTAGGCATGCTGACTGCTTCTACAAACATTTGTGAAAGAATGGGTCGCTCTCAGGAGCTCAGTGAATTCAAGCGTGGTACTGTGGTAGGTTGCCAACTGGGCGCTCTGTGCCCTGTTTTGCTTTTGTTCACCAGTATCAAGATTTCTTGATCTTTAACCATTAGCCGCCCGGCCAATGGCCATTTGGCGGCTTCAGATGTGTCTCTGCATTCCGGGTGCACGCCATTTGGCGTGCTCCCGCACATGCGCCGTTTGCGCTAATGCAGAGCGGCGCAGCAGTGCGATCTGTCACCGGCCGTGCACCTCGGACACGGCCGATGACAGATCCGAGTACCGGCTCCCGTTGCTGGTACCATGTGACCTGCTGTGACCATTCACAGCAGGTCACATGACAGTTGTATACAATGGATGGCTTCATTCATGATGCCATCCATTGTATACTAGTGCCTAGCTGTGAATGGTCACAGCTAATCACATGCACATGTCATGTGATTAGCTGTGACCAAATCACAGCTAAGCACAAAAAAAAAAAAAAAAAAAAAAAAAAAAAAAAAAAGCTGAATGAATCGATTTCATTCAGGTAAATGCTTGCTTATAGCAAAGTAATTCTTTGCTATAAGCAAATTGTGTAAAAAAAAAAAAAAAATACTGATCACTTCCCCAAAGTAGTACAATGTTACTATGGTAACATTGTACTATTTTGGTCATAGTAAAATATGAAAAAAAAATAAAAAAAAATGTAATAAAAAATTAAATATAACAAAAAAAAAAAATATATATATATATATTTTTTTTTTTTTCATACTGTCACCAGTCAGTGTCCCTGTTCACCGCCATGCCAGTTATATGATGATGCTGTACTGCACTGGTGACAGTATGTAAAAAAAAAATAGTGAAAATAATTTTTATCATTTTTTCATTTTCCGAAAAATTATGACAAAAAAATACAACTTCAAAAAACTCACCATGCCTCTTATGAAGTACGTCGGACTGTCTACTCTGCAAAAAGGGGTCATTTGGGGATATCTGTACTATTCTGACATTCTTGGACCTCAAGAAATTAGATTGGCTGTCAGTACTTCAGGATTGATCAATATTCAGATCTATACCATAGTTTGTGAACTCTATAACTTTCCTACAAACTAAAAAATACATCCTAATTTGGGTTATTTTCACCAAAGACATGTAGCAGAATACATCTCGGCCTAAATTTATGAAGAACAATTATTTATTTGTAAACTTTTAAAACAGAAACAAAGAAAAATGTGTTTTTTTTTTCAAAATTTTTGGTCTTTTTTTGTTCATTTAGCAAAAAATAAAAACCCCAGCGGTGATTAAATACCACCAAAAGAAAGCTCTAGTTGTGTGAAGAAAATGATAAAATTTTAGTTTTGGTACAGTGTTGTATGACCGCGCAATTGTCATTCAAAGTGTGAGAGTGCTGAAACCTGAAAAATGGCCTGGGCAGGAAGGTGTAAAATTGCACGGTATTGAAACGGTTAAGGGCTACAACTCTACGAATGACAGTTTCAGTTATCTTTGTCTGCATGAAGATTTGAGCGTAGGTTTCGCTTGTTCATAGGTTGCCACCTGTGCAGTAAGTCCATCCGTGACATTTCCTTTGCTATTAAACATTCAAAGGTCAACTGATATTGGTATTATAGCAAAGTGGAAGCAACTTGGAACAACAGCAACTCAGCCACAAAGTGGTAGGCCATGTTAAAATAACAGAGCAGGGTCAGCGTGCGCCAAAAGTCACCAACTGTCTGCAAAAGTCAATAACTAAAGACCTCCAAACTTCATGTGGCCTTCAGATTAGCACAACAACAGTGTGTAGAGAGCTTCATGGAATGAGTTTCCATGGCTGAGCAGTTGCATTCAAGCCTTACATCACCAAGTGCAATGCAATCATCGGTGCAGTGGTGTAAAGCATGCCGCCACTGGACTCTAGAGCAGTCGAAGCATGTTCTCTGTAGTGACAATTCACGCTTCTCTGTCTGGCAATCCAATGGATGTGTCTGGGTTTGGCAGTTGCCAGGAGAACGATGCTTGCCTGACTGCATTGTGTATAAAGTTTGGTGGAGGGGCAATTGTGGTGTGGGTTTGTTTTTCAGGGGTTGGGCTGGGCCCCTTAGTTCCAGTGAAGGGAACTCTTAAGGCGTCAGCATACCAAGACATTTTGGACAATTTCATGCTCCCAGCTTTGTGGGAACAGTGTGGGGATGGCCCCTTCTTGTTCCAACATGACTGCGCACCAGTGCACAAAGCAAGATGCATAAATGCATGGATGAGTGAGTTTGAGGTGGAGGAATTTTACTGGCCTGCACAGAGTCCTGACTTCAACCTGATAGAACACCTTTGGAATGAATTACAGTGGAGACTGCCAACCATGCTTTCTCCTCCGACATCAGTGCTTCTGGAAGAATGATCAAACATTCCCATATACTTACATATCACAACACTTAAACCTATAATCTCCCAGAAAGTCGAGTTTTTTTCTTTTTTTGAGGTGCATGAATACCAGGATTTGTGGGTATTAAGAAGGTTTTGGTGATGAAAGAAGAAGAAAAAGTTTAAGTGTTTGTATTACACTTGTGAGGATTATTTTTGGCGACTTTTGACTTTATTTCTATTTTATTTTTATTTTATTTTTGGACACGGTGGGATTTTTGGACATAATATTTTTAATTTATAATAATTTTTTTTTTTTATATACAAGTTTTGGTTTTAATTTTGATTTGATGCATTTGCTCATAGAAAAGTCACATATATATTGTTAAACATTCCCATAGACACACCTAAACCTTGTGGACAGCCTTCCCAGAAGAATTGAAGCTGTTAAAGCTGAAAAAGGTGGGCCACTCAATATTGAACCCTACGGACTACGGACTAAGACTTGGATGCCATTAAAGTTCATGTGTGTGTAAAGACAGGCGTCCCAATACTTTTCGGCAATATAGTGTATAAGTGTTTACAGCACTTTGGCCTCTTTTCTTTTACCTAAGTATGTAGCTTAAGTCTGGTCCTGTGATTAGAGGATATATTCCTAAAGTGTAATGGAAGGAAGCTGGTTCCTGAATGGAGGAGGAGTTCCACTAAGGCATAAAGAGAGAAGACTTATTCCTTGGAGGTGAGAGACAACTAGATCCTCCATGTGAGAGTCCTCCTGGCGGAAATTGAGAGAAGGGAGGATGTTGCCCCAGGGGTTGCTGAAGGGAGAGCAAAGGAGTATCAATGGACTGTGGAATGTGAAGATGCTGCGTCCCAACACACCAACTGATGACCACCAGGGACCCATGAGGGAATGATGTTGGGACTTTGTTTTACCACATTTAACCATGGGCCGGATCTTCATATCAAGAGGTTATAGATTTCCAAAACCCTTTCAACTCACAGTAAACATTTTTTTAAGTAAAGAGCAGTGACGTGATTCCTTGTCTTCAGCTGTGCTGTAAAAAGATTTGTGGACAGAGAAATTAAGTGAGTATTATACAGAAAACACATTGGATGGGATAGACAGTCACCTGAAATCACAAGGTGACTACACAGTAGGTGAAAGGAGAGACTGTATTCCACAGTGTGTTGAGTTTAAAGTGAAACTTCACTCTCTCAATCAACCTTGACTATTTCTAATCCTTATGCTGCTAGCATTAGTAAATAGATAAGAAAGTATATCATATTTACTTGTTTAAACTTTTTTTTGTATTTCTTCAGTTACTACCTGGTTTCCATGCAAATTATCTCACACATACTGGGAGTCTTCAGGAGGGGAAGGAGGGTTCTCAGCTCAGCCTATGCTTGAGCTAAGGGCAGATGGATTCCAGGAAGTAAATGCTACATGAATCATCCACCCTTACTCAAGATGGCCACTGCCAGAAATGAAAGGGGGTGTTTTTCAAAATGATTTCTCAGCAAAATAAAGCATGGAGACATGTATGGATGGTGGAGTTTGCTTTGAATATTAAAAATGAATTATATAGCATTTTTAGTTTGTCGTGCTCAGATGCAGTGCAGTTCCACTTTAAGTATACTTTAGTAATTGAGGATTTACACTTCACATTCATTGTATTTGTTGTTAAAGCAGAGCTCCAGTCTCTTTTGAAAAAAATAAAAGTCAGCAGCTACAAAAACTGTAGCCACTCACCTGTCCCACGATCCAGCGCATATTCAACGCAGCCAGGTTCACCGGCTGCCCTGTGTCCCCAGTGCCGGCACAGCCAGATGCCCACTGTGCATGTGAGAGCAGTGCTGTGCAATGTGAATAGTCCCACAGTCCTCTGGGACCTGTCATGCGTCCCAGAGGACTGTGGGGGGGGGGAGGTGGAGAAGATCTTCTGCTTCCGATCGCAAGGTGATGAGTGGGAGCGGGTACTTGTCAAAATTAGATACCTGCTCCCCCCCGCTCCCCAGTAGTGCCAATCCTTAATGGGAGCAGGGGACGAAGCCTTAAAGCAGAACTTCCACTTTTGGGTGGAGCTTCACTTTAGCACAAAAAAAAAACAGTTTAACAAAAATACCCTTAAAAAACAAATGATGGTTCTAGTCCATGTATACCTTTGTTTTGTGTCTCTAGAATATCTCTACCAGTGTTGCCAAAAAAAACTCTTGGTGCCTTTCTACTTTATGCTAATTTTACAATTTATGTTTATTCTACACTTTTATTCTTTGTTTACTTACAGTCTTTTGACACTTCACTGTTGCACTTGTCATTACAATTCAGTAAAAACTTAATGAATAGAATGTAATTTTAATGGCTTAAATATTAAAAAGCCTAGTGTATCTATACACAAAAACAAAAATGTAATATATTGTATGTTACCAATTCCTAATTGTGGTGGATGCATTCATTCTCTTCTTTATCTTCTTTAGGATTGTTTTCCCTTTATTGTCATCTTTTGATCCATCCAGTACGTTTGCTATTTTCCATTTTCCTGTAAGAGACCAAGCTTTCCAGCAAGTGGTAGTTAGAGGGTTGAGACAAACCATTTAACACTGACAGGGTTGCTTACAATGATCAGCTTTTATTCTTTAGTGAAAAACCTTTATACCAACAGAAAAAAAACACTATTGCTGTAAATGCTTATAAAAAGTGTTAGCTGGAGAAGAGCTTTAATTTGTTGGTCAAGTTCATCTAAATCCGCTAATGCATCTTCATTGAGTGAAGACACCCTATGAAAGGAAGTGTGTTACTGGCCAGATCACCAGGTGAAAATAAATGAAAAAAAAAAAGCCTAAAAAAGAAAATGAATGCAGCGACCACATTTAAGAATTGGTAAGCTGCCAAATATTACACTTTTGTTTTGGGGCTTATACCATTTTAATTTCAAGTTTAATAATAATGGTGGAACCATCAATTTAATCCCAATTGTGGGTGCAAACAAACTAAATAAAAAAAGAAGGTTCCCCTAAGGGTTTAAATCTGGTGATATCGTTTTTCTTAACCTCCTTAGCGGTGTTCCCAAGTGTAGCTCGGGGTAAAATTTCTATACCAAGAGCGGTAACCCCGAGCTACACTCGGGCTTACCATGCGGCGTTGCTCTGGGGGTCTCTGCAGCACTTACCTTGTCCTTCGCTCCCGCGATGTGTCCCCTGCAGCGTCCCTGGCCATCTCCTACTGCTGATGCCGGCATCCGGCTTCTGTGTTCCGGTCCCTGTGACGTCGGGACGTACGGGCACCGGAACCGGCGGGAAATTTGAAATTTTTAAAAAATGTCATTTTTGCTGTCATTGCTATTTCAATGCATTTCACATATATTTTGTCCCTACTGCTTTGTCCTGTGCCCTGCCTGCATTTTGAATGTTCTTTCTGCCTGGAAACGTACAAAAGTCCATGGTGTCCAAAAAGCGTCCCTTTACGTCAAAAGCGGTTTTAGAACAGCGATAGTAAATCAGAACCACTTGCAGAATTGAGTGATAATGATTCGTGGGGAAATTCGTCATCAGACACTGAAAACGATTTTGCGACTTTGCTCAGCGATGTGCGAATTTGCCTCTGTATTTCAAATTTCGGTGTTTTTGGTTTGATTACATTATTGAATTAAATTTATTATTATAATATTATTATTTTTTATGATTATTTATTAAATTATAATTTATGATTTCGTGTTTCAAATTTTATCATATCCGGGATGTTTACTAGACTCTTGTTCGTACAGATTTCAGTGAGTTATTCCTAAAAATTACAGCCTACAATAAAAAACGACATATTTCCATGCAAAAAAATGGTACCGCTTTCAGCACAAAAAATCGGAAAGAATCATACCGCCGAGGAGGTTAAGAGAGTATTCAAAGCTGAAGTAAAGGATGGTCATTTTTTTTTCTCTCTGTACAATATCAAACTGTTACTGAGTTTAGAGATGAGCGAATTTTTCAAAAATTCGATTCGCCTGATTCGCCAAATTCGATTCGAATTTATTCGCTGCGAATTTTACTTATAAAAAAGGGTTTCTAGGCTTCAGAGAGCCTTTATATTAGTGCAGAACACTGTACCTTTAATTTAAATGCCCTTGGAGTCTGCTGGGGAAGAGAAATAATACTGTCAGTCAGTATGACATGCAGATGAGTGCCGTCGATCTTAGAATCACCGCACACTTCACTCATTTGGGCAGTCACGGGGCCAAAGAAGAAGAAGAAGGAGAAGAAAAGAAGAAGAAGAAGAAAAAGAATGAAAAGAATGAAAAGAAGAAGAAGAAGAAGAATGAAAAGAATGAAAAGAAGAAGAAGAAGAAGAAGAATGAAAAGAATGAGGAAAAGAAGAAGAATGAAAAGAATGAAAAGAATGAAA